ATGTGTGTATTTTAAAATGGTGGATAATCCTACAAATATTTTTAAGTTTAACATGCATATTTTCCAGTAGTATTGTATTAAAATTTCATAGTTTAGGGCCAGCCAAATAGTTCAGCAGATTAATGCCTGCAAGCAGGCGCAGGGGCCGGGGATTCAATTCCTGGCCCTGCCTTGCTGGCCATGCCCCCGAGGTGAGCTGACACAGCCATTGAGACTGGGCATGGTGACGCAAGCCTGTAATCCTGGCTCTTGGGAGGCTGTAAGCAGGCAGATCACTACAAGTCTGATCTAGTAGTGAGACCCTGAATACCCTGTAGACCCTTCCCTAAAATACAATAAATAAATAAATAAAATTTCATAGTTTAGCAGACATTTTTTCTGCCAGTTAATCCCCAGTATTAGACATATTTATGGTTCTAGTTTTTCCCTATCCTAAAGAAATCATTTCACTATTATTAGTTACATTATTGTAACTAAGTCTGGGTATTCTTTATTGGGGGGAAGACAATAAAAACAGACATGGAAATATACTAACCAATCGGGACATGAATAAATGCTGCTTATTCTTCTTTCACTGTGTTTTTTTACACCCAGCCATCACAATATGAGTCAATCCATTTTCCTTCATCCTAACCCTCACCATAGTGCTAGATCCAGATAACAAGTCAGAAAATCCAGGGCAGTATCGGCTGGAAAGTCTCAGGTGTGTAATGCCATAACCACAGGTGCTGGGCTCATCAGATATAGATTGGAAACTCTATTACTAGCTATGTGCCTTCAGGTAAGTTGTTCCCCTTTATGAAACTCAAGTCATATGTAAGAATGGAAAGAATAAGATTTCCACAGAGCTACATCCCCAACTTTTTATTTTTTCACTTTTTTTCCTTTTATTTTGAGACAGGTTCTCTCTATAGGTTCTCTTAACTTGCCAAAGTTGACACTTACTTGCAATCCTCCTAATGCAACCTCCCAAACAGATGGAACTACAGGTGTGTACCATGACACCAGAAATTTTATTTTCCTTTAATATAGCTTCAAGTAGATTTATTATCAGTAGTTGCTAGTAACTATACACGAAGTGAACAGCAAAAAATGCAATTAAAATTTTAAAAGTTTTTATTAAACATTGAAGTGATTTTCTGCTGGCTCCTTACATTTTTGCAAGCATTTTCAAATTAATTCCTTTTGCAAATTTTTATTTTTAATTATGAATTGTAATTGTATTTATGGTATACAATGTGACATTTTGATTTCTGTATACATTGTGGAAAGATTAAGCCAAGCTAACTAAGAGATTTAATTTAACGTTTCACATATTTATCTTTTTATATACTGGGAGTAAAGTTAACTCTTATAAACAATTTCTTTTTTTAAACAGGATCTTGTTATGCAGTTTGGACTTGTAGTGATCCACCTGTCTCAGCCTCCCCAGTGCTGGGATTGCAGGCATGCACCAACACACCCATTTCCGAGGCCAGCACGGTGCATATGGCACCAGGGATCGAACTTGGGACCTACGGCTTGCCAAGCAGGCATTTATGCCACCAAACTATCTTCCCAGCCCAGTAATATTTTTTGCCATAGTTTTATTGATAAACAAATAGCAATGAGACAGTTTCAAATCAAATCAGTAGGACAGTTTCAATAATTGAAACACTGCATACATTCTTCTTAGTGGTTAATTGCTGTACAAGATGCGGACTTGAGATCCTATTTACAAATACCATTAGAACAAATCATTCTATTCACTAACAGAATGTAACTATATATCTATCCCAAACACTTTGAATACACAGATACAAAATGGACATTCATCTGTATACCCTTTTTTTGTTAAATTGAGTTATTTGAATATTATAGGTGTGTAAACTCAGCAAAATATTCTAAAAGAGTCCAGTAGCCCATAATAGTATTGGGTCTTCTGCTTAACTGGCAATGTCAGAAATTGTTGACCTGAGTCCCCCACAGCTCAACATGACAACATGGATTTCTTATATTTCATTTTTATACTTTTCTGCTGGATGGTTAAGACCAAGGTAAAGCAGGACCTATGCAACAAGAGTTGTAGCTTTTGGTGTTTGCCTGTTCTGATAAGGTCAGTGAAATGCCCTCAGGATTTATCCTGAGATCCTGTACCTCAGATTGTAGAACCTTTGTCAGGGTCAGCCATGTGGATGAGTCACAGCCAATGCTTGGCCAATGTCCAGCCCAGTAATCTTAAAATATACAATATATTATTTTTGTAGTTATAATTATATGCAATATGACAGTAAATCGACTGAAATTCTGTGCCCTTTGATCAACATCTCTTCTTTTCCTATCTACTCCTCTCCCCCAGCCGTTGGTAACTATCATTCTTGTTTCTGAGTCCACATACAAATACAATCATACAGTGTTCGCCTTTCTCTGCCTAGTATATTCCACTTAGCCTAATATCTTCTAGGTTCATCTATGGTGAAGTTTCCATGTTTTTAAGGTTGTATTCTGTTCATACATACTATGTTTTCCTCGCTACTAACAGCTTAGAGGCATAGTCTGAAACAATGTTGTGTAAGTGAAGTTATCTTGGGAAATAGCACATAAGGCATCTTGGAGAATATTCCTGTACTAGTGCTTACAGGAGACAGGAGGGGTGGGGCAAGGCTCCTCACAGTCATGCTCTGACTGTATGTGGTCTGAATCAGATTTACTGCAGGACACAGAAATCTACAAGATTAGCCTACAGTGGCCACCCACAGAATCAAATGCAGAGGACTGTGAAAGACCTGCTCATGCACTAGAGATCTAAAGCCAAAACTTGGAGCCCAAACAAAAGATCCCCAACAAACGACTGAGGGGTCTACACTGGAAAGTTGAAGGATCTGCACTAAAAGCCAGAGATGATGCCCAAGACAAAAGTGAGGACTGGAGCATCTCCCAAGAGAACAGCTGTAGCTCCTCCAAGGAAAATGAGCCTCAAAGACGCTCTTTCAAGGAAATCAGCTGAAATCCTTCCCTCTCATTTTCCTTTTATACCATTCCAAACAGTACTCCTCCTTAAGTAGGTCTTCCACACCCAGAATCATGCTGACTCAACTCAGCTGTGCATTTCCCACAAGGTGACAGTCACCACCACAATACCCTTACTGTCCACCCAGCACCATTGTTGTCTATTGATGGTTGATCCTAAACTCTTTCCAAGACCTTTTTGTTCAAGAGCTGCCTTGGCAGAGATGAAGATGAACCTGAAAGAACCAGTGGGGCTTACTGAACTGGGAAGAACAATCTTGTTCTACTCTTCCCCTTCCCCTGTAGCTATAACTGCTTGTTCTGGTACAGATAAGACTGGCAACTGTGTTCTGTACACAGAGGTTATGTCATCTCAGGATTCAAAAGGCTTTGTCTCTTTTTTTTTTTCAGAACCAGGGATTGAACTCAGGCCCTTGCACTTGCCAGGGAAGCACTTATTCCACTGCACCATCTCCCCAGCCCCTCTGTCTCCTTTCAAGGCTAAGTGATTAATTGCTTAGTTTTGTTTCTGAACCCTTGATTATCCCCCCACTTGGTTCCTAAAACCACCCCCCCAGCCAAATGTATAAAACTAGAACCTTTCCTTTGTATTAATACCCAGCACTTTGAATATGGGTTCAGCTGTGTTGATGTGCATGTAAATTACTGGAAATAAATCCCCCTTTTCCCTGTTGGTCTCTGTGATCCCTTGGACTCTGAAACATCATGAGACAGGTCAGCAGCTCTGGTCTGATGAAGGAGGTTTTCTCTTCTCCTTTCTCTTTCACTGAATGGCCCGGCAAAGGGCGGTGTTGAAGCAGAGCACAGCACAGTTGGCTGAGCAAAACTTACTTGCCTGGATCCTCTTCACATTTCACACCATGTCCCAGATGACTACACATGACCCAACCTTGGAAGAGCTCCAGGATCATATAAGCGGGGCTATAGAAGGAAATCCACACCCCAGGGATTGGTTTCCATGGACTAACAGTAAGATACCGGCAACATCCATGGTCATCTTGTGCCAAGGAATCCTTAGCATATCAGCAAGGACCACCTCCCTCCCCTTACTTCAAGGATCAAAAGAAAAAGAGAATGAGATGATACAGGAAAAGATTGGGAAATTTGGGAACATCCGTTTAATGGAAGGCACTGACTCACAACACGAGCCGCAACATGAGAGTGGCAACACTTGTGATGGATAGGTACATAAAAGTGGTACATGAAAGCATATCTCAGGCTTCAGGTAATGGAGAAAAGTAAGCAAAACAGAGCCCTTATTTTGATCAGAGATAAGGAGATGATCCTCTACTCCTATCAAATGCTATTACTCATTTTGGCCTAGGATATGTCATGGGACCTCCCTGGATTCATAATCCCCATTGTAAAGAAACACTAATCTGAATCTCAGAAGGAGACTTGTAAGAGCAGGTAAGAGGTGGTCAGAACTAAAGAGGGCAGAGGTATTTGAGATCTTCCCTATTCCTACTCCAGGTTCTGCCCCCACCTGTCTCAAGCTTAGCCTGGTCCTTCTGACTCCAGGATGAGCAACATTCTCCTCAGCATCAGCAGACCCTACCCATGATCAGTTTTCACCCTGGGAGAGCTGGTTCCATGAGCAGAGCCCCTCCCAGGGCTTCAGGAATGCATGGGCCAGGGAAGGAAGAGAGAAACACAAATAAGAGTGGAGACCTGAGCACAGGAGAGAGGACACTTGTGGAGAACATGATAGGTTCTCAATGATTGTAGCAATGGAAATAAAAGAAGCAAGTTCATGGGCATTTGTTCAAATTCACTTGACAAGGACAAGGGTGCAGATGATGTGGAAGATGGCCTTCCTGTTGATGTTCTTATACTTGTGACTTAAAGTCCCCCTGCCTTGGACAAGATATCCTGTCTGCATCTTGTACTATGGATAACAACTAAGAAGATAACAATGCACAATGTATTAATTATTGAAACTGTCTTATTAATCAGTTTTGAAACTGTTTCATTGCTATTTGTTTCTTAATAAAATAAAGAAATAAAAATAAATTTTTAAAAGTCCTCCTGCTTCACATACTGTATCACTGTCTGAATAAAGAGTTGGGGGAACAGAGTGTACAGCCCACCCTCCAGTCACAGGAAGCTCCTGCAAATGTTCCTGCCAAAGGGTGAACTGCATCTGATATTTTGACACTTTTTTGAAACATAAGCAGTGGTGGCTACATAGATCAACTGTGGGCAACTTCTTAGAGCCTGGATTCTCAAAAAGGAGCAGAAAGGGTGCATGGAAGCATTGCCTAGAAAACAGCCTTCTCAAGCTTAAAGCTCCTCCAGACCTCATGACCCAGGACCCACTCACAATACTCCTGGACTTTTCTGGAAACTTCTTTTATGCCTCTTGCCAAAACCTGGTGATCAGTAGTGTCTTAAATCCTATGCCCTCCATTACTCTCTCACTTCCCCTATAGACCTCAGTGCCTGTGCTTCCTGGGCCATCCCATAAAAGAAGAGTCCAATATTACTATTGAACTATGTGTAGGCAAGAGACACAAACTGTACTTCATTTCAGCCATTATTTCATGTAGGCCCTCTATTACACCAATTTATTCTATCTTAACTAGTAACACAGTTTAAGCATAACGAAACTTTTTTCTCTTTGGCAATCCTTATATTCTGGATTGGGTGACTGATGGAGATGCAGCTCAAAAGAGACTCTTATTCCCTGCCTGACTTCATGGGGGCCTTCTTGGCACAGAAGAACACTAGGTTTCTTATTCATCTCTAACAAATTTCTTCTGTGGCCTTGGGTGGAGCCTCTCTCTGCAGAGTAGAGTAATACTAGTGTACTGAAAGCTTAAAATGAAAGCAGACACTTAATTGACTGGTTTTTATTTCCTATAAGCAGGAGGGTGGACTTACTTAAGTACTATAGCATAAGTCAGATAAGAATTCAAGCCACTAGGAATAAGTATAATATAGTTACATCAAATCTCTACAGTGGAAAATTATTTCTAAAATATTTGAAGAGATATAGATAAGCTATGTAAGATTGCAGTGTAGCTCAGTGGTGAAGCACATGCCCAGCATGCCGAAGGCCCTGGGCTGCATCTCCACCACTCTAAGAAAAAGAGCCCTGTAGAGATGAGAGGCAAAATGAAGTTAAGTTTAGAGAGGTAGGGAGGAGAAGTGGATTCAGAAACACCAACTAGCCTTGTAATAGGCATGCATGGGAGGTGCTTGGGTTCCTGCCAGGTCCTCTTAAATTGAAATATACAGAAAAAGACAGTGCCTGCCTGCATCCACTGAGGCTCTTTCTCTTCTCTTCAAAGCTGTGCCTGGTCAAGCCAAGCTGCTTTTGGCCAGAAATTACCTGCTCGTCTAGTGGCACCATGAACACTGTGCTATTTCTCCAGTTCCTGCTGGTTCTCAGCCTCATGCTGCAGCTTGTGCCTGGGAGTCCCAGGCAGCGCTTTCTGAGTATGTGCTGGGTCTGGTCCTACGGGAGGGAAGCAGAGGAGTAGAGAATGAGGGGACTGGGTCTACAGTAGAGAACACATTAAGAAAAAATGAAATGTCATGTTCAAGAATCCAAGCTTTATGTCAGTGAGATTTAGGTTTGAATCTCTGCTCTGTTTGCTAACTATGTGACCCTGGATACAGGTCTGGGCCTCAGGTTTTATCTTCAAAATGGGTGTAATAACCTTAAGATAGCTGGGAGGAAAACCTGAAGCAACGCATACAGACAGAGATCATCCTTGCAGTGAATGCTAGCTAAGGATCAATTACAATAAATACGGTGGCTGCATACCCCAACTTATTCATGCTTTCCCTGGTTCTTCCACAGATTACTTTGTCCACTTTTCAAACATTAACACAAAAAAATTAAGTAGGATTCAAGGTGAAATCTACAACAACAAAAAAATGGCCCTAGAGGATATTTTGGGAAGAAGGGGAAGGAAGTCTTAGGTTTAATTTCATATTCTAAAGATTCATAGGCACTGGAATTACCAGTGGGTAGCACCAGTGGGGCAGTGTAGAATCCACCTCAGCAGCCACCATGCTCCTGCTCAGCATGCCAAAAGCAATAGTGCTGACTTTGAACCATAACCTTAGAGAAGAACCTTCAGGTATGCATTCCTCTGAGGGGAGAGCATCTTGAGAATATTTGGGGCACAAAAGATGGACACGTCTACTCACTTGTGCTTCTTGGGTGACTAGATTCTGCTCTAGGAGTTTGAAACAAGCATCCAGCTGCCTGACTTGCTGAGAGGGGATAAACAACCTGCAAGACGGCAAGACTACTCAGAATAGAACTACTTGAAAAATCAAGGGCACCATTTTGAGGAGAGACACAGAGAAGGTCTCTGAAAGTTTAGTGACAGCTGTGTGTGAGACAAGGACAAGACAATGGCAACCAATTCAAACTGCAGAAATGTAACTTCTCTGAGAACTCTGACTTGTGGCCTCATTGCTCACACTGCTCCACTATACACCATGTTCATCCTACTGAGGGCTGATTTCCACCTTGTGCCTTCCACTCTCAGTTCTGGAATAGCCAAGTGATCTCTGGTGACTTGTCTCTACCAAAGTGTCAACATCTTGGATCTTGGCTTCCTTCACCTCATTTCTGGTGACCTCATCTGTTACAGTAATAGCTGTAATCTCTCTCTCTTTGTTTCTTTCAAATCTTTGTGATATCCTATAGATCTTCTTCTAACTACAAATACTTACAGAAAAATAAACCAGGAGTTGGGCAACAGATGTCTTACTTAAGACTATATCCCCAAAGAAAAAACAAGTGATGAATACAAAACTTAGAACCAGGGTGGGAGAAGAGGTTAATAGGCCAATGCTTGTGTGTAAGAACTTAGGAACAGGGAGGAGACTGGAATGGAGCTCTCAGGATAGGATCTCCTGGTGGAAGTGGATCTTAGGTGGAAGTGGAATACATGAGAGTGTCAATATGATGATGTTTATTCTTCTCTATTAGTAGAAAACAGAGGCATGCTGGATGCTGGGCTGCTCATCAGGAGACACCAGTGGCAAAGGAGAAGCTGAATTATTGTACACTATTTTCAAATTCCCTCCCTTCTCAACATGAAGGAAGTCACCTCTAGAACTCATCACTGAGCTGGATCCTGGCTCTCTGATCCAGTACTGTTGGGCTGCTTTGTGGCCTCCATCCTTTAGCAAAACTTATTTTCCACCTACTCTTCCTACACTGGTCTATGTTAGACTTACCAGAGGATAAACGATGCTATTCATGAGAAGCTATACAACTTGCTCAGATCTACACAATGCCAATGAAAAAGGATGTATGTACCCTTACTTGCTCAAGCCACACTGAACATTCATACACTTAGAAAAAATGCGGGGGCTGGTGAGATGGCTCAGTGGTCTAAAGCACTACTTAGAACAAGCTTAGCAAAAAAGCACAGGGACCACTGTTCAATCCCCCAGCACTACATGTCAGCCAGCCCGCCCCCTGGTGGGCTGAGCTGGCCACACACACACACACACACACACACACACAAATAAATAAATAAATAAATAAATATTTAAAAAAAAGAAAAAATGCGGGCCAGGGAGATGGCTCAGGGGAATAAGCACTTCCCTGGCAAGCACAACGGCCTGAGTTCAATCCCCAGTTCTGCCAAAGAAAAAAAAGAAAAAAGAAAAGAAAGAAAAAATGCAACGAGGTCTATGGAGACCCAACATCTGACCTGCAAAGATAGAGGATGAGCATTGGGTTCAGGGTCCTGCAAAATGTAGTCTTTGAACGAATATCCAAGGAGTGGTTCACTGCTCAGAATGCGGAGGGAGACAAAAACTAAAAGCAAAATTTGATTTCCCCCTCCCAGGACCACCTAAGAGAGCTGAGGGGCAGCATCCCTGGGCTTACCAGCTGTGACTGTTACTTGGGCCTCTGGTTTAGGCTCTTCTCTTCCCTGTTCTCTGTTCCAGAGTACATCTTGGAACCTCCAACCTGCATATCAGATAATAAGGGCTGCTACATTTATTGTACACCTGAGGGATGGTGTCCACCTGGATTCCAGTGTTGTACTGCCTACTGTGGGATAATCTGTTCAAAAAACAAACCAAAGCGCAAAAAGTAAGCAACGTCTCATGCCCAACCCTGACCCTAGGGCTGCTGGTCAGATTCAGAAGAGCTCTCTGTCCAGCCATTATGACTATTCTTTTTCTTTTCTTTTCCTTTTCCTTTCTTTTTGGTCTCTTTACCTCTATTTCTTCTTTATAAGTATTGTTCTTCAGAACTTTCTTCCATGCCAGACTACAAAAATCCTTCCCTGTCCATGACAGCATGAGTGGATCTCTAACTATGCCTCTCTGGACACATCCACAAAAACCTGCATCCACAGACCTCCCCTCTCCTACAGTCTGCCTAAACATTATACCTGGAGCTGCCAGTGTCACTGAAACCCCACAGTAAATTTGCTTTCTGCTTTTTTCTCCCTTCTTTGACCAGATACCTCACCCCCCATGCCAGTGTTCTGGGGCTTCAGAGGCCCAGCTCCAGGGAAGAAGCAGAGCTGCTGCCTGAGCATAACCATGGCCCCCAGTGTGGGCAGTGGGGGGAAAGGACACTCAGCTGCTAATGAGGCGTCTGGTTCTAACCTTGCTCTTCAAGTACATCTTTCTACCAGCTTCAGTGAGGCAATGCTCCTCTGTGCTTTTCTTTTTATGAATAAGTTAGGGACTCCATTTTCCAACTTGCAAATCCCAGCCCACTGAAGTCTCAAAAGATGCACAACAGGATACTAAAAACTTGATTATCTTTTCTTTACCATATTTCCTACCCTGAACTGAACACCCAGTGGATGAGACAATGTACAAGGTGATGCAATATAGGCTTCAAATCAACCATGGGAGCTCCAATCTGGACTCTACCGCTTCATGTCTGAGTGATTCTAAACAAATCAATTGATCTCTCTCTCTCTCTGGGTATGTGTTTCTTTCTCCTTAAGAAGGGAACAATAATAGATTAAAATTAACAATGGCACAGACTGAGCTATAACATCATTCACCAGCCTCAATCACACAAGTGCTGGGATTTGAGACATACATTACCATACCTGGCTTAGTACTTTAAAAGTCTGTGCTTCCTACAGCACAAATCAGATTCACAGTCTATTCTCAATGAGGAAAGTAGTTAAAAGTACAAGTTTTATTAGCAAGAATAAAAATACACAAGATAATATTTGAAAATATTTTTCTTCTACAGAGATAAAGATGAGGAATTCAGGCAGCAAAATATCTGATAATCGAGACATCTTCCTCAGAGCATTTGTAAGTATGGAGTTTGCCTGACTTTACTGGTGAAATCTCCCAAGGCTGTTCCTTTTCCTCTTCTAACTTCTGCAGGGGACAAATATTCTCACAAGTCAGAATATTCTTGTCAGTGGCCACAATGCCTCTTCCCTTACTCTCCTGATTCTATTGTGTGTATCAGAAACAGGTACAATGCAGGTTTAAGTATAGAATACAGAGCACCACGAAGAAGCAGAGTCATGGCCAAGGGGAGTCTCAGATCTGAGGCAAGCAATAAACTCTTCCAGCCTCAGGCTTGACAATGTCCTGGGCAGCCAGTCAACTGAGCCTGCAGGCTCTGCATGACTGTTCCTCTTTGCAAAAGCCAGTCCTCTCATGTGAGAGATGAAGAGAACACCTTGCCTTGGTATTTTATGAGGATAATACAAGGCCACACGGTTGGAAGAGCCTGCTCACAGTAAACACTCCGTGAAGGTTAGAAGCTTCCAGTAACACACATAATGATATCATGCTGGGTACTGATTGTTCCTTCTTGCAGAAAAGAGGAAGGATCATCTTGTTCACTTGCCCAGTTTTACAAGAATGGTGAACAGAATGGATTTCCCTGTAACTCCCAGTAAAAGAAAGATAATATTCATAACTTGGTGGCTTTTGTTTCAGTGTCTACAAATGACTGAAACTTAGGTCCTTCTACTTATCCATCTGATGTGCCCAGGGTTTCCAAATTACAATGTGGTTTTTGGGCTCAGAGTTCCTTTACTGGGCCAGGGAGATAGCTCAGTGGCATAAGAGCCTGCCTTGCAAGTGAAAGATCCTGAGTTCAATCCCTGGTACCAAAACAAAAACAGGGCCTAGGAGATGGCTCAGTGGAATAAGTGCTTCCCCGGCAAGGGCAAGGGCCTGAGTTCAATCCCCGGTTCCAAAAACAAAAACAAAAACAAAAAAAAAAAAAACAGTTCCTTTACTGACCTTGTACAAAGAGAATGATGAATGCAGGTGGAGGCCAATGCAGTGGGGTAGGTGCTTTCACCCCTGCCCAGGCCCTGATGGGCCCATCATGTTTACTTCCTGCTGCTCCTTGGATGCAACTGACTGCTCTACCAAATACTGCCCAACCATTAGTGTGTCACTGATGTTAGATGGTCCAGGTCCTCTGCATCAAAAAGATACAGAAACCACAGTAACCTTGTACTCTAGTCCCAGGTGAAATGCTAACTAATGGGGACAGCTTCAGCTATATTTTGAGTGCAATATCAGGTTGAATGACAGTATAGTGACTTACATAAAGTGATTGTAAGCCCAACTGCAGTGCTTTGCCCATGGGCACAAGACTTCATTTTAGATGGGTAAATCATTGCCCTGCACTATGGGAACAGGCACCCCTGCTCCTGTGACCTTCTGGCAGGCTTCAGTGAGACTGTGCCCTTTCATCTAGGACATTAACTGTCATATCTGGTAGATCCTCATGCCCCTGGGTTTGTTCTCCCAGAGGCTGCAGCCCATCCTCTGCACACTGGCTCCCCTGGATGGCTTTTCATTTTTCTCTTTGTTTATGACTGACCAGGAGCATGGCTGGAAGGCTTAGATGAGGCAGGAGACAAGAGTGCTAGAGAGGACCTGGGAAATTGTTGAACTGATTCCCAGAAAGCACAGTGCTGATCTCGAGGCCTCCTGGAATGGAGCAGTAGAGGCCCAGGAAGGCCTTGTCACATTCTTCTCTGCACCCTGGGCTCTGGGGAGTGCGGTCAAAGGCTGTCACCTTTTTTTCAAGCAATCATTTAGGCCATGTCATGCTCTATCCCTTCGGTCATCACAGTCCCCACAATAACAAGTTCACATAGAACATAGACTTGAAAGACTATGTTTGGCCTCCACCTGATGGTATAGTTAAAGTCAAAATCCAAGGCTTGAAATGCCTAAAAATATTTTTTCCCAAGAGATCTCTCCTACTCATGCCATATTACATTAAAAACTTGGAAACTTCACCAACTCACCATGAACATAATTGGCAGCTCAGCTCCCTTCTGCCGAGCAGCTTTTGTGCCTTTCCTGTTCCACCAAACATTTCCATGGATACTCTCCTCCTGCCTACACCTCAAACCTTATCACTGTTCACTCCCTTTCATACTTAAAAACTTCCCCACCAAGTTTAGGACCCCTCTGAAGCCCACATGCCCTCTCCCCTCAACATGCTCCCCCTAATTCCCTGATGGCTCCTACTCATGCCATATTACATTAAAAACTTGGAAACTTCACCAACTCACCCCAAACAAAACTGGCAGTGCCCTACATCTCCCCTACCATAATCTTTGTTGCATTATATTCCAATCATTTTATTATTTTCTCTGTCTGAATTACGAGTCCCTTAACAACAATAACTGTGTCTGGCTTTCTTTGCCATGAGACTCTAGCCTTGCAAGTAGGAAGAATATAACTCAGCCTTTTCAAGTGGAGGTAACAAGAGCTTCACAAGAAGATTAATCCTAAAACTTGACAAGTTATTCTTACCAAAAAAAAAAACTTCACTGAGCAGTCCAGAGTCCTGCAGACATCAGTTGCCTACTTTACTTTTGCTAGGTGCATTCAGAATCAATTTATAAAACATTTGTAAGCCTGGCATAGTAGCACACACCAGTGACTCCAACACTTGAGCAGCTGTGGCAGGAAGGTAGTTTTGACTTTGAGGCCATCCTGGACTACATAGTCAGTTCAAGGTAATCCTGCACTATGTAATGAGATTCTGTCTCAGAAATACACATACACACAAAATTAAACATTATATTAATTTTTAGCTAATTCATATTTGCTTCTGGAAACTTCCAATAGATGGCAGGTAAAGAAGCTTAAGAGTCTCTGTTCACATAGAATATTAGCACAGTAAGGGGCTAAGGGTCCTGGCTAGTCTGAGACACAGTCCAGATCTGCCTGCTACCTTCTAATCCTTCCAGCCATGTCCTCAAGATGAAATATAATGACACATGGAAAGCAAAACACAAAGTTGGCAAATTGTCTAAGAAGGTTTGATTATGATTCATGTCTTGTTAATCTTTCTTTCATCCAAAATTCTTATTTTATAAAGTGATAACAGTTTACATTCCACTATAAACTCTGTGTGAGTAGGTGGGTGGATGGTGGGTGGGTCGTTGCCTGGCTCTCTGACTGGCTCATTGGTTGGTCGGTGTTTAATTTCCCTAGATTCCATGTTAAATAACTGAAGTTAATGTAGACAAGTGCAGTTTCTCTGATCTTAAAATATCATCCTACAAGAAAACAAGTCATAGTCATGGGAAGTACTGCTTTTTTGGAAGAGAATGTGATTAACTCTCACAATGAAAGATCTAATTTGTCAGCAATCCCAAATCCTCTGCTAAGCCTCTGTGACTGTAAAAAAGCTCTGCCTCTAAATGGTGTGATAATCTAGTCCCATAATTTTGCTTTTCTTCCAATTGCATTGCCTCCAGTGAACTTTTCCAAGATAAATTTATCACAAGCCCATTCCCACACATCTCTTCTCTGAGATCCTTCAAATCTGGCTAACTACTTCATGATTTGTAACCCAAAAGGAAAGACTGTTCAGAAAAATCAATATTCAGGGCAGGGGAGATGGCTCAGTAGAATAAGTGCTTCCCTGGCAAGCACAAAGGTCTGAGTTCAATCCCCGGTTCCACAAAAAATAAATAAATAAATAAAATAAAATAAAATGCAACATTCTCTTAACAACGGGCTTAACCTGCCATTATTGTACATACTGGCCACAAGAGGCTACTGAACTGTAAATTTATATTAATTACAATAAAATAAAAGGTACCTCCCCACCCCTCCCGCCGAGTAGGAATTTCTGCCGACTTCCGGGAACCCCCAGACCCAGTCCTAGCCCAGGTCCGGTGAGTGTGTGGAGAGCTTCCTGCTAACCTGCGCCGGCAGGACCAGTCCCAGCCAAGGCGCAGCATGGGCCGGACCCTCTCCCACCCACTCGGGCCGCCCCCCATCACTCCACCTAACCTGCCCCACCACTCCTGCTGAGTAGGAATTTCTGCCGAGTTCCGGGAACCCCCAGACCCAGTGCAAGCCCAGGTCCGCAGCAGGAAGGAGCTGAGCACAGCAGCCAGACCTAAGCCAGA